AAGCGACCGGGAAGGGTGGCACCCTCTCGGATTGGTCCTGGAGACTCAGTTCTAAAATCTTGAAAGGGAGGTCTTGAACCTTCTAGGACAGGGGTTGGACTCTGGTGTTTATGTCAATTATTGACAGAATATTTTAACGAATTGTACTTAAATTTAACTGTCTGGTTGTTGATCGGTTTCTTTGGTTTACATTTTAAAATTTCTTTTTAACCTCCTTACAATGAACCAAATTTAAAAAACTTTTCTCACCATCCTCGTAAAGTTTTAGAACAAAGCTCATGCAAAAGTTACAGTTAAAGAAAACAACATTCTCACGTCTTAGCCTGCAATATACAGTCTCTTTAAGTCCATATGTTACCGGCGAAATTTGAAATCCGGCATTCTATATAATGCCTGGGCGATGTAATATAATGCTTAAAATTAGCCAGCAATGTATGAAACGATTCTATAGAATGCCTAGGTATCAAATACAATGCCTAGTGAAAGTACGAAATAATTCTCATATTTCATACTTTCTCTAAAAGCTTTTGGCATTATATGCAATGCCTAGACATTCTATAGAATGCCGACTTTATATACCTTGACGTTTACACACACAATGCTTGGAAAGTTCATTCAACTGCCCTGATTCTCTTCGTAGAACTCATTATTTGTAAAACTGTTTACATCTATGGTTACGGTTTTCTTATTCGTTTCACTGCTATAAAATAATAATCTTTGAGATGAGACTTCCCTTTAGAGATACGAAAGTAGTCTGAAGGGACCAAATCTGGTGAATAAGGCTAGTGAGTGCCAATCGTGACAACTCTCTTTGCTAGGAAATGCTTGACTCGAATAGAACTGAGTGACAGCTAATTGTCTTGCTGTAGAAATCATTTATTCTTTGAGCTTTTTCAGGTCTACCATTCTGAATTCCTTTGAGAAGTGTATCCGTTAGGAGTTTATAAAATATATAATTTACCATTGTTTACCATCTTTACCCAGGAAAAAGTTCCTTACATCAAAGTTTTCTGTGGGTTCTTTAGAGAACTTTCTGCAGCTCAGGTAGATGATTGGCATCTTTTGTTAGATCGCTAGCAAAACATTCTTCTTCGTCTTCAAGTTTACTGAGCTTTCGAATCCATGACAGAAAATCTTGACTGAATTGAAGCAGACAACTCGTTGTTTAGACATGCTCTTAACCCTTTCTGGCACTCTATCTTTTAAAGTTGGAGTTTTGATTTTTAAAAAAAGGTAGGCAGTTTAATTAGGCCTAGAGGAGTACACAAATAAAATTTTATGAAGATAGCACTTATCGTTTTAATTCTGTGGGTGTGCCCAAAGTGGGCACACTGATTGAGTAGAGCTTCGAAAAGAGTGCTGAAACGAGTATTGTTGTCAATGAACTGACCGATGAGATGCGCAGAAACATAGAATACAGACTCTCAGTTGTCCTAGATTATTGATGAGCCAGATCTGGGCACACCTAAGGTTCGCCGTTTGATTTTAGGCAAGATTTCAAGGTAAAAGTTTAAAACTAATATAGAATAAGGAGATTAGCTTACAACCAAAAAAAAATAACATAGAAATTTCTTTTCAAACAATTTTTTTTTTTGAAAAATGAGGGTCTTAAAAAATTAAACATGGCTAAAATATATGGACTGGTTTGTGTTGAGCTGCCATCTACTATAAATAAAAAAGGTTCAGAGTAACCTATACTAAACTATAAATCCTTTTTCATTCAATTTTTCTGTGCGTAGAGAAGGAAATTTTAAGTGTGTGCAGACCGGACACACTGTGCCGCAAAGGGTTAAATCAAAATTTTAAGAAAAGCAAGTGGAGATGCATAGTAATAAATGCCGTCAATTATTGTTTGTCAGGTTTGATAGAATTTGTTAAATGAATTTGTCCTGAGTTTTGCACATCCACTGCGTAGTTTGGGATGATAATACAGTTCTTCATAGGAAGTCATTTTCACAATACGATATAGATATTTTAATTTATTGTTCGCATTAAATAAACGAAATTAATTTTATTCTTTACACCAGTAGATAGACAGAAAAATAATTTTAGGAAAAAGTGTTTCTTATTTTTTAAATTTCTAAAACTTTTAAAAAATTCCGATTTTTTTTTTTTTTTTTTATTGCGCAGTTGTAGACGTAATGGATTTTTAAATCATGAGAATTAAAGGTACCATTGTTAGCAGGCTCAGGATTTTACACTAGAGAGATCGGATTTTTAAATTAAGTAACATTTAAACGAGTTACATTTAAATTGACGTCAGGTTAAAAAGAGTGTTTTTCTACATTCAGCATGAAATTTTCAATATTTTATGGTCTAAAGTGTGTACAACAAAAAATATGAAAAAAGACCTTTTTAAAATTGCACGGTTTTATTCAACGCGCTAAAATGTTTTTTCCCCATTGACGGGCAGTTTGCCGAAAAGCTGCGTTAACACTGTTCCTTTGGCGCGAAAAGCGACAATGCGGGCAAAAAACGCTTCCCGCATACGTCATTTCACACCAGCGTGTTGGTGTATTTAATTTTGGCAAAGCACACGAGGGCTATCTGCCTAAGGGGAGGGATGCCTTAGAGGACTTTCTAAGGGGAACTGACTCGTATATACGCTACACATGGGGAAAACCACGAAAACGCCCATGCAGGCAGCTCGTGGCCGCTCGTGGGCCACACCAGCGTGGAAACTTTTGCTTTAAAAAAAATTGTCATATGTCTTTATATCGGAAACTTGGGGAAAAACGTGAAATTTTTGTGTGGACTTTTTACGATTACCTTTTTTAAATTAAAACGGATTTAATTTCTGCTCGATTAAAACTTATTTTACTTCTTGCTTTGTGTAAGAGAAACAGAATGCAGTGGTTTATGGTAATATGTGAGAGATGACTGCAGCAAGGAGATGCAAATAATTTGGTTGAAGAAATGCGCTTGAACAAAACGAAATTTCTTTTAATTACTTTCACACGATATCTCATCAATTCGATGAATTTTTAGCTTTCACTGAACTATTTATCTAAAATTAGACCACAAATTGTTGTCAGAATATCGCAGAAAAAAAGTAGTTTGGAAGATAGGAATAGGATATTCCAGAAAACGATCGTTGTATATGTCTAACGCTGTAGATATCTAATTTAATATATTTATGAATTTTGTTGAATGATAATTAAAAATCCTGTTTGGGTGATTCTGTTTTGGAAAGTAAATTTTCATGAGGTAGAATACCATAAATGTATCCTCAAAGTACCTTATTTGTTATGATTCTCTTTCTTCTCTTCGCCTTTTGAACAGTATTACCAGCTGCGATAAATTAGTTATCGAATCCCTATTAACTGTCAGTTGGCTTAAAAATAGAGTAATTGATATCCGCTTTGGCTTTTGTACGTCCTCATCACGGTTTCTATGGAAATGGAGCTGATTTCTTAGCTAAAGATGCCTTAAATTTACCTATTGATATCAACATTAGCATTCCAAAGAGCTATTGGAAGTCCTTTTTATTATAAGAAGCATTTAGCTAAGTGGAATGAGAATTATATTTAATCTTGTAATTTGCTGAGGTCACCAAAACCTTCTTTCCTTCTACTTACTTGCATTCCGAGTCTTTTCTCTCTATTAATTTTAAAGTTTCTCGGTTTTTATCTGGTCACGGCAAATTTGCAAGTTACCTGTTTCGTTTTAATCTAAGATCAAACAATTTATGTGAATGCTCAAAAATATTACCTCAGGATATTGAATATTTGATTTTCTCGTACTCTACATTTGACGGCCCTAGATTATGCTTTCAGAACGATTTTAAAATGTTCAGAGTGACTTGGACAGTGAACTTATCTGTTTTCTTGAAGTCCAAACTGCTGTCCTCCGCTTTGTTCGTTTTATTTATGTATGCAACTTCTAATGTTTTATTTCACTTACTTCTATAAGGTTCGTGCTGTACATCTGTGGTGCAAGGGGAGTCTGTATGTTGTCAAATAAAAAAATACCATAAATGTTTTGCATGATGTATGAACTTCCCTTAAAAGCTTTCTTAAATGAACTTCCCGTAATTTATTTAAAGAATGCAATAAAAAGGTATATTTTGTTTAAATATATGTAGGACTTACAGCCATACTAAGTTAAATATCACACTTAGAAAAAGCAGTTACTTTTAAATTAATAAACAACAGCAATTTTTAAAAAAATGTTTTAATTTCTGCCTTATGTGCATATTTTTTACCTTAAATATAACTTTAATTACTTCAATTAGTCATCCATATATTAATGAAGAGCCACTATCTAAAAGCTTATTTTATAAGGTCACTTTAATCTAAAACTCATTGAAAAAACTGCATTTTATACAATACTTCTTTTCCTGCGTTAAAACTTAGGCTTAGCCACACCTAAGGCCGGAAGTGGTGGCCACTTTATTGTGGAAACGACTAATATAGGGCCATCTTTACCTCCTATGAAGCGATGGACAAATGCAGGCATGCCTTCTTCGCGATTGGAATCTGGGCCCTTCAGTACCGCAATGGTACCTTACCATTAATCCTTCTTGGCGCACGCGCTTAAGTGTAAGAAATATTTTTAATTTCTTTAGAACATTAGCAAATATTCAAGAAATAATAGATGTGTTTATACAGAAAGGACACAAGAATGGTCACATTCAATTCACTTCCATTTCTGTTTTACAGTTGTGGTACCTGATGCAGGCAAATCGGCTTCAAGATTATGATTTTAGCCGTAAGTGATCAAGAATACTATGGCTGCTAAAAAATTACTTTTATACTTTTTACTGCTCAATAAAGACTTTTAACGTAAAAAAGTTTTTACTTATGCTTATTTCTCCTACTGAGATACATAACTTTGTTTATCATACTCTCTTTCTTTTAATGTATATATTTGCTAGTTTACTTATTTTATTACCTTCTTTTGCAATATATTCCCTAACACTTACATTTATAATATTATATCCCAGGATCTAATGAAAATATAATTATTGATAATTTTCTAAATGCCGGTAAAATGCTTACAAAATCTTCGCGGGGAATAGAACAGCCGATTTCAACCATGTCGTCGTAGCTAGTTATTGTGCCATAATGACACTTCGTGGCTTCTTCAAAAAACCACTGAGCAGTCTGAAAAAAAAATAATGCCTGTTAATTAAATGAGGAAAGCAAAAACAGTTACAGTTAGAGTTATTGAAAGTTTATTACACCATAACCTATTCATGAAATGAACAAGTTCATTCATTTTATGATATAGATAAATATAAAATAATTCAAATTAAATTCGATTTGTATTCTAATTTAATTGGAATTTTGTATAATTTTTCTGTGATATGTATTGGGTGTAGGATAACCAGCAATTACAATGGAAATACTTTTCAGCAGCAAGAATAAAAATGATTATATTGTTTAAATAATAAAGTAATTTTCTTTATTATTAATTTGCAACAAACTGAAATTTTCGATAGCTAAAACTTTTAGTTTTGATAGAATTAGGGGAAACTGCTACAAAATATATTGACATATCGCTGAAAATATACCGCTTATGACATTTCATTGCCAAATAATGTTTTGTAACAAGAAAGTTTGCAACCTTTTTAACAAAACTTACTCCAATGTTTTGATGTCTTATTGGTAGGTAGCCAAATATATAGAAATGCTTCCAATTTTTAAGCTTCTTTTTAAAATTGTTCTTTATTAAAGTTTTGTTCCATGGGAAACCAGACTAATGATAAACAAAACCAGATCTCCATTATTTCTCCAAAGCGATTACATTCCATAGAGGTTTGCAAAAAACCTTAAATACCTCTCAGGATTCGGGGAGTCGGTTAGTCTAATGTCTCGGACTGTTTGAAACTAGAATAATCGAGGCACTAAATATTTTTTTTATTTACACATGTACACGTTTCGAGAGCATATGAGCTAATGTCCCTTTAGGCAAAAAATATTTTTAAAAAATATCTTTAGATTTTCCGATAGACAGTCTCGCGCGCTTTCTGTACAATGTGCTCCCTTTGAAATCGTTGAATTTGTTAAACAAAATTTCTTTAATGTTTTACAAAATAGGAAATGGACAGAAAAACTAATTCTAAATTCAGAATTCGAGCTTCCAAGTGCCCCTGTTCGCGTGGAGCATTATGTTATTCAAAACTGAACGGCTCTATGTACTGTCATTTTTCCACAATCCGAGAAAAATACATTCATGCATATTCTTCATTATTTAATTTCTTTGACTACAATACAGGGCGATAACATTTGGTGGTAACAATTTAAAAAGTGATACTGTTAGAATTAATTAGTGTCACTTTTACGTAATGAAATTCCGCAACGTCAAAAAAAAAAAAAAAGTAGCGACAAACGATATATATTGGTGATGGAGGATTGTACCTATGTTGTCTTTTTCATGTAGAGATCTTAAAGATTTTTTAGTTTGCCTTGTACTTAAGCCTGGGATTATCTTTTTCAGCCATGTTACCTTCTTTTATGTAATATACTACTGACACAAATGCCTAACAGGTAAGCATAAAGCTATTTAAAACTTCTAAATGAGTATTTTGTAAGTTTTCCTTTTTTCCAATACTTCAATTTAAATGTTCGTGAAGACTGTTAACTTTGATTTGTGTTCTATATGATTTAAGCAAACTCTCTAAATTCTTAAAGAAAGATTTCATACTTATCCTAACTTATAATTCTTTAACAAAACTGTACTAAATAAAGACAGTATACTTAAACACCTTAACTGTGTTAAATGCGCGACATATCAATGATTATGGGAGTGAGTAATTTAATAAGTTTCATAATTGGCCTTTTTGAAAAGGTTTCTAAATGTTGAAATTGTAAAATTGAAATGATATATTGTTGTAGGATTCTAGGGACATAAAACAATAAAACTGTTTTTGTTGCTGAAAATAATAGTTACAAATAATAATATCTATCTAAAATGGATAAGTTTTTATAACAGTGAGACGGGAAAGTAATGTCGTTTCTGCGCATTTCGATATTTGATTGTCATTTGTCAGCTGATTGTCTATCTCGAAGGCGTGTCAATGTCATTTTAAGGTTATCGTGACTTGCTCACTTCTAAATAGACCAATATTAAACTTTTTTTTTCAATTTGGGGTGAAATGGCCAGCCAAATACCAGAAGAGCATATCCGGCATTGTATGCTTTTTGAGTTTTGCAAGGGTAGTAATGCAACAGTTGCGACTAAAATCATTTGCGATATTTATCCACGTGCATTAGACATTCGTAAATGCCAAGGATGGTTTTTTTTTAAAGTTCAAATCTGATAATTTTGATCTCTGACTCCTATCGATCAGGAAGATCAGCAATATTAGACAACGACATGCTAAGGGCAGAAGTGGAAGTAAATCCATCTCATATAATCAAGGAACTGATTATTTGACATGTCAAACACACTTAACCAACCTTGGTTGGCCATCCAGAACATTTAAAGCAGATTGAAAAAATAAGCAGAGCAGGTGTTTGAGTCCCCCATAATCTGTCCGAAGAGAACAAAGCCAACCGATCCATCACATGCCACGTATTGCTTCAACGACCCCATACAGAACCGTTTTTTGATCGTTTGATTACTGCAGACGAAAAATAGGTCCTGTATGACAATCCAAAACGCAAAAGGCAGTTTCAATAGGAGTTACAAAGGGTTTACATTCCAAAAAGGCGCTTCTGTGTGTTTGGTGGAGTATTCGAGGAATTTTTCATTTTGAATTGCTGAAACCTGGACAAACTGTTAATGCAGACCTATATTGTGAACATCTGGATCCAGTGAACCAATCTTTATCGAAAAATATCCGGCGATTTTCAATAGAAAAGCGTCATTCTGCAACACGACAGTGCAAGACCGCACTGTGCAAGACGAACACTGGAAAAAATTAATTAATTAAAATTAATTGAGGTGGGAGATACTGCCTCACCCACCATACTCGCCTGATATCGCACCCTCGGATTTCAATTTATTCCGATCCCTCAACATTTTCTTGTGGCAAAAAATTTGAAAACTTGGATGATGTCTAAAATGCCACCTCGAGATATTTTGCTCAGAAATCAATCAATTTTTATCGGTTCCAGGATTGAAAATCTGCACACTGGATGGCAAAAGGTTGTTGATAACGAGGGTGATTATATTATTGATTAAAACCTAAAACTTGTTAAAAATTTATTCGTTTGAATTTAATGCAAGAAAGCGATTTTACTTCCCGTTCCCTCCCATTAAAAAAATTTATAGACGATAATTATTCAGTTTGGAAATCTAAAATAGAACAATTTTTAATCTTACATAATGAAGTGTTTGAATCAAAAATAGAAACTGAATGTGAAGCCAAAGCTTTAATATGCCTAATATTTCGAATTCGCAAATTATCTGTGCTTTACACAGTAAATGTGCTGAAGAAGTATGGACGAAATTAAAAAATCTGTTCATGAACGTGTAAATTTAGCAGATAAATTGTTTTTTCCTCAGAAAAGGAAATTATGTTAAATGTAATGAAAGTTATAAAACGCAAGAACATATCACGGGTGTATTAGAACGGCTGGAAAGGTACGTAGAGTAGGAGAAGAAATTAAAGTAAGCAAACTAAGACCAATTTTATTATGCTCTTTACCAAATTCGTAGAACTCGTTAATAACCGCAATAGAGGGTAAATCAGAAGCTGAATTGTCCCTAGAATATGCTAAAAATAAATTAATAGTTGAGTACTGTAGACGTGTGGAAATTAAAATTCAAAAAATGGGATTCAGTTCCTTTAAAAAGTAAAAGCGAAGACAAATCAAAATATAATGTTACACGATATTGTACTTATTGTAAAAGGTATAATAATAATACAAGAAATGACTCTTTTCATTACAAACGCAATGCAAGGACTCGAAAACAGATGTAGATAACAGCGCAGTTAGAAAATTAGGGTAACTTGTTTTGTGACCGCCTTAAGGAAGACAAACATTACCTAAATCTTTAAAACATATTCAGAATCCTGTGCTAAAAGAAAGCTAGGGGGAAAATGTTGTCCGAGTCCCAGTGATTCCTTTGGACAAATATGTAATATTGTTTTAGAAATTTAAGGTAATAAATATAATATTTTTCGAATTCTAAAACAGTTCGAGAAATTTATTCAAGTTATTATAAATTTCGAGATTCGCATACAAAATTGTGAAATAAACATGTGACAACAAAAAACAAACTTTATGCTCTCTCTATATTACAGCATGTTAATTAAGAAGTTTATTGAATTTATAATTTTATTGTGAAACACTATGAAGCAAATAATATGCTAATTAAAATACAGAAGTAAAAATAATTTATTACTTAATTCATAAACTTTACATAAAACCTGAAAAAAAGAATTAATTAAAAAATAACATAATATAATTTAATAAACATTTCATAAAAATTCGTTTCGACTGCTTGGAAAAAATGAATGGTTTTCCCCCTTTTTTGTAAACCATGTCTCCTAAATAAAGAAAAAAACATTTCTTTTAAAATCATAATCATGCTCTTAAAAAGCTTATAAAAATTATTTTAATAGATGTTTTAAACATGTGCTTATATAACACTTTTAATCATATTTCTTTATAATATCTTAATTAATTAAGAACAGCTTAAATTCTTTAAAAAATTGGATTACAGTGAACCGTCTCATTACGACAAGCTACCTCAGTCAATCACTTTTTAAATTTAACCAGCATTCCTCATAAAATAACTAATTAGTAAACATAACTTCTCTAGGATGCCCACTATCATTTAAAGATCAAAATTTTCAGGAATCACGTATAGCTAGCTTAGAGAAGGTTCATTGTACAAAAACAGCCAATATTCAAATATTTTCATAAATGAAGCCACCATAGTTATTAAATATAATATACAGTATACTTATATTCAGAATTCAGAACTTGAATAAATTTCTCGAACTGTTTTAGCATTCGAAAAATATTATATTTATTACCTTAAATTTCTAAAACAATATTACATATTCGTCCAAAGGAATCACTGGGACTCGGACAACATTTTCCCCCTAGCTTTCTTTTAGCACAGGATTCTGAATATGTTTTAAAGATTTAGGTAATGTTTGTCTTCCTTAAGGCGCTCACAAAACAAGTTACCCTAAATGTTTTGT